GTAGTCAATCTGATTCCTGTGTGTTCCATCTGGTGAAGTCCACGTGTACAGCCTCCGTTTGTGTTGTTGAAAAAAGGTGTTTGCAATGAACAAGTCACCAGAGCTTTTAGAGCCTTGGAAACCCTATGGGTCAGTTCTACTCTGGGCTATACGGTCACCATGGCAAGAGGTTTGGTTTTTTGGTTTTGTTTTGTGCCCAACACAGGACATTGACACTCAGCAAAGGTACCCCCTGGTGTTTGAATACAGTAACTACCTACAACAATGCCCACTTGAGTGGCTATATGCTGGCTGGTGGACACTGAAATTAACTTCCTTGGTGTTGTTAGTTCTTGATGAATTACTTTGAGATAGGCCTGGGGCAAAAACACCAATAAAATGGACATGTCCCAGCAAACCTCTATCATGAAATGAAAAAGTATGTAGAGCCCACCAAACATTTGCTTACTCACCCAGCATTGCTAAGGGTATCTGCAGTAGTCCCATGTCACCTCTAACTGTCTCCTAGCACTCCCACTCCCTGGGGCAGCAGTGGGCAAAGGGTCTAAAAGAGGCTCTGGTGCACTCGCCATCTCTGACCTCCAAGGTACTCTTTCATCAGTAGCTGAACTGCTCTCCTTCAATGGTCACATAATCAATAGACCTGTCACTGCAGTAATGGGGCCACCCCAGGTCATGTGCTGGTTCTCAGCACCCTCAAAGGCTTGGTCAGCAGCTCTCACTTGGTCCACCAGCTCCCACTTTGAGTTAGCCATGGACTCACTGTTATCCCGTCCCAGCCTCCTCTTCTCTGACTAGCAAGCAAGGTAGTCGGCTGGTGCCATTCTGGGAGAAGAGAGCCAGCCCTTCCCAAATAAAGAGGGCTGGGACCACTTATATCATGTTCCAGACTGTGCCCTGCATAGGAACAGAGCCTTGCATCCAGGGGTCCCTGGTGAGTGCTCACTGGTAGAGAGAGGGAGGCAGTCCCTGCAGTGGGTTCATGGGGTCACACTTAGGCCCTTGTCCTTTTCAGAAAGATACCATCTCCATCAACCACAACTGGATCAACGGCTGTAATCTGGCTACCAGGGGGCATTTCCTACACCTGGAGCTCAACACTGTACACCTGGTGATCAGTGGGTAGAGAGACACAGTACCGCAGTGGCATCATTACTGTCAGGTATGGATGAGGCTCTAGACTGTGGGGACCAGGCCTGAGCCCCTGGTACCCAGGTGAGTTCAGTCTGGGCCCTGGAGATAAGAAGAGGGATATTCTTTTCTTCTCCTACTTCTGAGGTTTTGCTATCAACTTCCTCTCTGCTCCCAGCCTAAGTCTAGCCAGCCTCCAATTTCCCTGCAGGCCCTCTCTCTGTCCTGGCCACATCTGAAGGGCTTCTGTTTACACAGATGCTGCCCCTGCCAGTCTTCAATGTTGACCTTTACCTTGGTTCAGGATCCTTCAGAGTCCAGCCTCTTATCAATCTGTGCTTCGACACTCTTCTCCTGCTGTGTAATGCACACCTGTCCAGGCTCATGGGGTGAGCAGTGGACATAGAGAGAGAGCAGTCACTCATCTGCCAATGGGTGGCTTGCTGAGTGTGTGCACTAGAAACGGGCCCCACAACAGACTGTGATGGGCCAGAGAGGGCGCCCTGGGAAAGGGTTATGGAGCAGAGGAGGCTCCTTCCTTAGGGGCTGAGGGGTTTACATGTGTTGGGTTTATAAGAATGGCTCAGCCTGGGATCTAGTGGGATAGGGAGAGAGTATTTCTGGTGGACAGGAGTCAGAGGTACAAGAGTTGGAGAACAAGGGGTGCAGTCAATTGGTTTGCTGAGTGAATGAAAGTAAGTTGTAGGTGTAGGGAAAACAGGAGTTGAGAGGCTGCACAGGGAGATGCCATGGTCTGGGGATAAAGGGAGGTCAGCATACATGACTGGGATACATGTGCTCATTGAGAGGCTTTTTAACCTCTTGGATGTTTCTGTCTCTCTCAACCACAAATCTTGGCATTCGAGGGTGTTTGGGTCCCTTAATAACCCGGGCCTCTGTCTTCCACCATCAGAAGGTAGCTTAAGGCTAAAAATGAGTAGCGTCTCCCTGGGTCTCTCTTCCTTCTGCTGAGCATCAATTCCTCACGATCTTCACTGAAAAAAGAACCCTATCCTGGAGAATGAGATGGGCACTGGAAAGGCGGAAAGTAAAGTAGGCCCTGAGGTGGGCCTCTGTCAGGCTACTTTTGATGTCAGCCAGACCACCAACGTGCTGGAGCCCCCGGCTGCCTGATTCTCAGTGTGTTCTCTCTGCAGACCTCCAGAGGGTGTTTCCTCTTCAGTCAAAGGAGTTCCTATCAAAAACTCAAACCCACTGCCATCAAGGCGATATCAACTAATAGCAACCCTATAAGACAGAGTAGAACTGCCCCCTAGGGTTTCCAAAGCTATAAATCTTTACAGAAGCAGACTGCCTCATCTTTCTCCCATGGAACAGCTGGTAGGTTTGAACCACTGACCTTTTGGTTAGCAGCCAAATGCTTTAACCACTGCATCACTGGAGCTCCTTAAGAAGTTCCTACAGGAGCTGGAAAAAGCCATTGCTTTGGCTGTGTATCAGGGAAGAGTGGGGTGCGCACTTGCCCTTCTGCAGGTAAGCCATCTCCATAAGCCTCAGGGCCTGGCAGTTGTTATTTGGCTCCAGGTTTCCCTTCCACAGATAAAGCACTGACCTCTGTGTCAACTTCCTCAACAGTCTAATGCAAAAGACCTCTGCTCTGTGGGTTTTGTTGTCAGGGTCTGGTACAGCCCTGGCTGCCACAGGAATCCCCTGAGATCCTTCTAAAATCCTGGAGCTCCTGCAGCCCTGTCCAGAGGTTCCAGTTCATCAAGATAGTGGGTGGGAAGGGTCCTGGTAAAACTGACCTGCAGCAAGGGTTCCTTGTTCCTGAAGGAGGGGGTAGTGTCTAGTCTCTGGGGCGGGCTCCGGCATTGCTCCAACTGAGGTCTGCCTCTGAGGCCGGGAACAGACTGTTCTCGTTTGTCAAGGGACAAGAACTAGCTAATAGCAATTGGAGAGGATCAGCATTCTGGCGAGTTGCCATAGTCTTGGGTAAATGTTAACACCCATGGTGTCCTGGATAGCCTTGCTCTTTATCAGTTCAAGCTCCTTCTGAGGATCTTCGTGGGGGTTCGAATCAGCCAGAAAGTCTCACCACCTCCTTGCTCTGGAGATGGCAGCACCAGAAGGCACCTCAGCCTCTCTGCCTGCTGGCTCACCCCACCTCTGTGGCTTGATAAGTGGGTACTGCCTGAGGTCTTGGCTCAGCTATGACTGGACTTCCTAGAAGCCTCCCTTAGCCCTTCCTCATAGGCTGAGGTCAGAACTTCATTTATGAAAGGGACACTTGGAGCAAAGAACCAGTGACCTGACCTGCTTGCAGTCCAGAGCATGTGGACAGCAGGAGTGGGCCCAGCAGGCAGGCCCAGCTTGTCCTCAAGGGTACCTTCTACAGAAGCACCCAGCCTCTGCAAGCCCATCCTCTCCCCACACTCCATCCTCTGAATCACTTCAGAACAAAGGCACACTGTCTATTGTCACATCTCCTATTGGGGCAGAAGGAGCCCTACAGGTCACACAGTCCAGGCCCTGCAATGTAGAGAGGAGAAACTGAGGCCCAAGAAACTGCCCCAAGACCCAGCTCCTGAGTCTCTCAACTCCACACTAACAAAAAACAACACACTGCCATTGAGTCAGACCTGATACATAGCAACCCCTCCTTGGGTTTCTGAGGCAGTATCACTACAGAAGTAGATTGCCCAAACTTCCTTCTGAGGAGTGGCTGAGGGGTTTGAACAACCAGCCTTCTGGTTAGCAGTCAAATGCTTTAGGCACTACACCACTAGAGCTCCCAACTCCACACTAGGACCACTATTTCAGTAAAGTCTTCCCCTCCCCAGTATCTGAGCTCCCACAGGCCTTTGCTCTCACCTAGCAGGACCATGACCCAGAGATATTCCTTGGTCCAGGTCCCAGGTGAGCTCATGTGCATTGGTGGTCCTTCTCATACAGCTGTACAGAGGTCACAGTTGTGTGATTCATGTGCCACTCAGAGCTTGCTGGCAGCAAGTCAAGCAAGGTGGTTTTATTCCCCTCCCCACATGCACACTTGCTCCAGCACCACCGTTTACATCATGAATAAGTGGACAGCAGTTCAGGGACACCTTCCTTCTGATCCCCTCAACTGCTGGCCACCCCACAGACCAGGGTAGAGAGAACTCTTCTTGCCATACAGCCCTGGGAGCCCAGCTTGGCCGCAGGGCTGCTCAGGAGGGAGAGAAGTTCCCAGGAAATCAATCATGGGGAACAGACCCGATCAATAGGGTGGTATTAAGCAGCTTGGAGCCTTCTGACCAGGGGTAGAGAAACAGGGAACAAGGCTAACAATGACATGAGAATTTTAGTCACAGCTCAACAGACTGAGGTCAGACTTCTAGAGGGACTCCAGCATTTAACAAGATGGATAGAAGGTCTGTAAAAGTATAGACCACCCAGTCCACCATGTAACAGATGGTGATACTGAGGCCCAGAGAGGATCATTTACTTGGGAGCAAAGCTGAGGCAAGGAGGAGCCAGGGGCTCCTCACTTGCAGCCTGGGAGCTGCTGCAGGTCAAGGAGGTCACTTGAGACTGGACTAGTGGCCTAGGGAGTGGCAGGGAGAAGAGCAAATCACTAGCTCCAAGGCCATGGCCATGCCCATCACTCCTCACCCACAGTCAGGGCATCTCCTCCTAGAGCCGTCTCCAAGGGCCCATCCTGTCCTCTGCCCCTTGGGCGGTGCAGGGTCTGGCTGGGCCATGCTTGCTCCCCCAGGAAGTCCAGTGTGGCCCTTCTCAGCTCTGCAGTCTGTCTGGGAGAGGCCGAGTTACAAGGGTTCCCTGGAGTGCCAGCGGCTGGGCAAGCGGTGCAGCCTCATGTCTTCCTTCTGGATGTGCTCATAGCAGGACTGGTGGGAGAGAGACAAGGCTGGGGCCAGCAGATCTGGCCACTTCTGGTCAGGCACAAAGGCTCTGGGCCTAATACCTGGTGCACACATACACACGCTGCAGGCCTGAACAAAGCAGGCCTTCAACTCATCTTCAGTCACACGGTCTGCAAGGGAAGTGGGGCCTCCCCTCTTCTACTGTGTAGCCTCAGGATGCAGCCTGAGGACCCTGGGGTCCCAAGGGCCAATGCCTCTCCCTAGACCCTTTCAACAGGGCAGGATGAGGGTCTGGAGACACACATGAGTCTGTGAATGCAAGTGCCTCCTCCCATGATGGCATCTCTGCCTCAGCCCACTGCCTACATCCCTCACCTCCAGGGCCGTGAGCAGGAAGTCATACAGGCCTCCTGTGTGCATGGGGTCCATCATGTCCCGGATCAGGTGAATCTCAGCTCCTAGATGCTGGATTCTGGGCATCCTCCCCCCTCCAAGAGCATGAGGGAGAGAGGGAGAAAAGGGCCCATCAGCAACAGGGTGAGAGTCTAGGGAAGGAGCCCTGACCTGGGTGACTGGACCCTGGGTGTAGCCCCCACAGAAGCTGGAGGCCTCCCTCTCTGGGCCTCAGCTTCCCCTTGTGTCCCGTGTATGGCTGTCTCCATACACCCATCAGACTCCCAAGCCTATACTGGAAGGGAACAGGGAATGTAGGAAGAGCCCTTCCTGCAGCCCCACCTCCCTGACTCCAGCTCCCAGCCTGTAGGGGGCTCACCGGGCACGTGACACCACATAGATGAGCAGGGGCAGCAGGTCATCCATAGGCAGCTTGTGCTCCTGGCCCAGTACCCGTGACACAGTTGCCTCAATTTCCCCATATGTCTTCTCCAGCACCTCCAGCTTCTCCCGTGGGTCCACTGTGGTGCTGCAGAGGGTCAAGGCTCTGATCAAGGCTCTTGGGTTCAGTCCCAACCTGGGGCCCCGAACACTGCCACCTCCATCCCCACCTCCCCTGGGCATGGACTCACATGATCTTCTGCAGGCACTCAGTGGCTGACAGGAAGCACTTGTCCCTGACCAGGGAGTATCTCTGTGTGGTGAGGGGAGTGGGGTTGGATGGGGCCGTGGCCCCTCTAACCCTGTCACCCCTCTTTCCTGGGTCCCAGACTGGCCTTGAGCCCCTTGCTATCCACTCCTTCCTCATCACTTAGCTCAGGCCCTGCCAGCCAGAGCCAGGCCAGCCATACCTTCAGCACAGCCCTGGCCCTGATAATCAAGGGAAAGTCATAGCTCCAATATGACCCTCAGTTTACCCAAGTGTAAAATGAGGTATATGGTCTCCAGAAGGTGGTGGTGGTTGTTGTTATGTGCCGTCGAGTCGGACCCGACTCATAGCAACACCTCCTTGGGTTTCCGAGGCAGTATCACTACGGAAGTAGATTGCCCCGTCTTCCTTCCGAGGAGTGGCTGGTGGGTTTGAACCGTCAGCCTTCTGGTTAGCAGTCAAGTGTCTTAGCCACTATGCTACCAGAAGGTTGGGAGGATCAAAATGGATAAAGAAGATAACGATCCTAACAGCCAATGGTCACTGGGCATTGCCCTGTTCCAAGGGCCTACGTCAGTGGTTGTCAAACTTGAACACATCAGAATTTCCTGGAATGCGTGTTGGAACAGATTCCTTGGCCAACCTCCGAGTTTCCTTGGCCACTCTGAGCTCAGTGGGTCTGGGCTGGGCTAGGCCCAAGAATTTGCTCTTCTAATAGGGTCTCAGATGATGCTAATGCTGTACACTTTGAGAATCACTGCCTCAGGTACTGGCCCACATCACCCTCAGAACAACTCAATGAGGTAGTCGTAATATTGCCTCCCTTCTACCAGTGAGAAAACTGAGGCATGGTTACCAAGCAGCTTGCCCACCACTGTACACCCGGGAAAAGTGAAGCCTGCATGTGAGCTGGTCATTTTGGGCCATCAGCTGCACCCTGACCCATATGGGGAAGTCAGAACTACACAGAAGCCTGGAGCCTCTTCCCCTACCTCTGTCCCCACCCAGCTCCTCAGGGGCCTCTGGCCAGCAACTGTAAAGCAGGGGCTCCTTGGAAGCACTGTGCCATCTCTCAAGGTCAGGGGTCCCTGGCCAGTTGGAGGCCCAGCTCAGGGCTCAGGCTTCCCTCTCCCTGGGGCAGGTGATAGGCCTACCCTCTCACCTGATTGGTCGTCAGGGTGATGTCCTTGAGAGGCCACAGGTGCCTGAAATTAAGAGTGGGACAAGAAGCTCTGCTGGGACAAGTGGGCAAGGTCCGAGGTCAGAGGGAAATGCCCTGCGTCACTTGCCGCCCTGCAGCATTGCACACAAGAAAGGGGAAGGAGATGGGTCCACCATGGCACCCTTGAGTGTAGGCAGGGATGCTGGAGCTGAGGCATGAGGAGGCCGAAGGGATTCTTGGAGGAAGCAGCCCTCTATCTGGGCCCTGAGATGTGAGAGGGTGGGGCAGCACTCCAGGTCAGGGGGGCCCTGCAAAGTCACTGGTGATCAGGCCAGAGAGTGAGAGCTGAGGGGACTGGACTCCATTTCAGAGGCAATGGGGAGCCAGCATAGGTTGGTGCACAGGCAGAGACAGGCCATCACAACTTAAAAACACTGCAGCAGCTGCAGTGTGTCAAGGACACGGAGAGGGGAGCAGGAAGCCAGCGTGGAGGAGGCAGCACCCAGTGGTTGCGTGGGGAGGGAAGAAGCCCGGGAGGCTGCTGGCAGCTGGCAAATGGGCAGATGCAGAAACATTCACCAAGATGGGAAAGGAAACAGGGTTTGAGAGGGTGGGTGGAAAGCACCATCACTCGGTACAAGGGAGACGTGATGTGGGAGGTGTGAGACTGGCATCACTCCTGGCATCCATCCATCAGAGAAGCACTAAGTAAAGGAGGCCCTGGAGTACGGTGAACACCCACCTGACTTTTTATGGGACTATCCCTCCCTTTCTTTTGGGAGCCCTCCCCAGCCCCATTCTCAGTCCAAGAGCCCAGAGCAGGCGACCTTGCCTAGCCTAGCAGTAGATATTGAGGCAGCCCTGGCCAATCCGAGCCACAGCCACATTTAAGGGCAGACTCAAGTCTCCTCTAGGGACTCAGCTGGAGCTGTTGGGAAGGAAGTGCCAGTTCCCTATGGAGGCAGCTGAGGACGGAGATAGCTAGCTCTGAGGGGATGGCATAAACCTTGAGTGGTAAGTGCCATACTTGTCACTACAAGAGGGAGCCAGAGAAAGACTAACAGAGAAAGGTGCTTCTCTTTGTCATGTGTTTGAGCACCTAGATTCAGCCTCACCTGAATACATAACCCCTAGTACGTGAACCAATTCACTCCACCCGCCTTTTGTGCTGAAGACAGTCTGAGTTGAGCCAAGCTTGACTAACATGGGGAAGGGACAGGGTCTTACTTTTGCACATCCAGGAACTCCAGCAGCTTGGTGTCAGGGAATAGGCTCAGGTTGGTGATGCCTTGGCTGTACAGACTGTCTTCCTTCTCATGAAGAAGCAGATAGAGAGTAAAGAGCTCCGGGTAGAAGCTTGGTAACACGAGGGGCAACACCAATCCATGCACCTGCAGGTCCCTGAGGGAGAGAGACCGTGACAGGGCACTGGAGTCAGCAGGGTAGGGTGTGGGGATCACTTCATGGGGCCATCCCTCAAGGAGCCCACAGAACCTCTCCTTCCACAACAGACAGTGTCCCTGCCTCACTAGAAAGCCCTCTGCAATGCCTGTTCTCATTCATTCATTCACTCATTCAATGAATGGCTGCCTCATTCTCTCACTTGACCTTCAGAACCAATACAGCAGGTGGGGCAGGATTTTGATGTCCAGGGCCCTGATAAAAAGGTGATTTGCAGCAAAGCTCTCAGTAGCCATTCCAAGCTTGTTTTGTCCCCTAGTTTGCTGTGCTTTTTAGGATTCCAGAGGGAAGTTCTCCCTAATGTCTAACCCCATCTTGTATGCCCCTGCAAAGCAGTGACAGAAAGGCCTCTTAGACAAAGAGCATCTCTGGGCCCGGAACCTGAAGGCAAATTTCAGCATTCAGTCTCAGGGTCTGGGGAGCTGACTTAATGGGCTGCCTAACTCCTGATCTCTCTGTGTGACCTCAGGTGCATCCCTGTCAGGCCTCAGTTTCCCCATCTGTGTGCAGGGGAGAAAGAGAGTGCCTAGGGGAGCTACTCACTTCATGCACATGACAGATAAGGTTGGGATGACACAGAGTACAGCTGCATTCTGCACTCTGGGACAGTGCCCCCTCCTCAGTTACTCGTGGGACAGGAGTCATGGTTTGTTCTGACTGACAAATGGTCCATGAACAATGTTTGGCTAATAGCAAGAACTTCCCCAATGCTGCCCCCAGAAGCACCCCTTTTCCCTGAGGTACAAGACCTCCCTGGAACTAATCCAGGCTGCACCTGGGGAGAGAATCCCGTGAGAGTCTCTATAGGCACCTTGTTTCTGTATCTTCATCCTTCTCCAGGGCCTGGCCCTTTCGCTGTAAGGCAACCTGCAGCAGACCCCTGAAACCAACAAGAGAGGGATGGAGTGGCTGTCACGTCCCACAGAACTGGGATGTGCAACCTGTCAGTCACCAAAGGCAAGGCCACGTGGACCTGGCTGCTCAGCACATGGAACATGGGGACTGCAGGGTCTAGCCTCTCAAACCACAGCAGTGAGAAGGCTGGAACTTCAGGGTGTCAGCATGGAAGTCCTGGAATCCCAGCAAGACAGGAGCTGTAGCATCGAGGGTTCTTATCTATAATGTGGTTGATGGAACCACAGCTCAGCCCAGGGCTGAGATGGGGTATGAGTCCCAGCCAGGGTTTAGCCAGCAGTGGGGACAGAGTTCCCTTGGACTCTAGGTGAAGGCTGCAGTCTGATCCTGTGTATCACCTCCCCACAGGGACCAACCAACTCTCTGGTTCTTTGTCACTTCAGACCACTCCCACCTGAGGCTCCAGGCAGAACTGACACTTGGAAAGGGGAGATCCTTTCTCCCACCCCACAAGGTCACAGGGTGGCAGTTGTCCCCATGTTTCACCAGGCTCACCTGTAGGCAGCCCAGAGCTCCTGGGCATGCTGTTTCACCTCTTCCTGAGCCAATCCCTGCAAGTGCTTATTGGCCCCGACACCTGCATATGTGGCCTGGAAGGTCATCATCAGTGTCTGAAGCAGCTTTCCCAGGGGGTGCAGAGAGTTGCTCAGGGCCTGGCCAGAGTAGAGGCAATGAATGAAGAGACACTCAGCACTGGGGCTAAGAGCACAGCATGCTCAGACAGGACTCCAAGACTGGCCCCATTTCATTGATGACAACACTGAGGCCCTCTGAGGAGAAGGGGTCCACAGGCCTGTCTCCTCCCGTCAGCATCCTGCTGTAAGAAATAGGGGCCTTTCCCCTCCGGGTGACAGTGAGAATGGGCTTCTCCCCCATGACCCCAGAGCCCTCACCTTCCTGAGGTATTGCTGCAGGGCCTTGGGCTCCCGGTGCTGCAGTAGCTCCTCCAAGATGTCTTCAATACTATTCATGCCATCTTCAGGGTGGGTCCTGGGCACCACACATACACACACACGTTCCTCACCCACGTCTGGGCCCAGACCCTCCCCTTCCAGAAATGCTTTCTCCCAGGCCCATTCTGACCCATAGTAAACCCAACACCCTCTGGAAGCCCTCATGGAGGCACATGTACGACCAGGCCTCACCTCTCACAGCACAGGTACTCCTGGGACTTGCGCAGCTCCTTGGAACTTTGCACATGGAAGCCCAGCAGGGCCTCCTCCAGGTCCCCAGGGCAGCCAGCTTGCACAAAGTCCTGGAAAGGGCCATAGATGCCCTGCCAGCGGCTCTCCACAGGGAAGGCACCCAGGCCCAGCTGCCTGTGATGGAGATGCAGCTGAAGTGGGTAGGACCCAGTCAGAGCCTTAGAGGGGCAGCAGTACTGACCTGGCCCAAAGTCTGGGCCAGGGAAGGGTAATGGATTGAGGGATGTAGATGGGGTTGACCTCAAAGGCTCCAGGAGGAGAAAGGAGAGGCAGACAGTAACAGAGAGAATCTACAAAGAGATGGAGAAGAATGATAGGGACACACAGAGCCCTGGAAAGACGGACACACAAAAGCAGGCAGACCTGCAGAGCTGGAGCCCTAAGTTCAGACAGTGGTATGTGGCCAGCGCCTAAAGCCTGGATTCCTCAGCCTCAAGCCCTACTCCACCCTTCCACCACATCCAGTTCCTTCCACAGCTTGACTTACCTGGCCACCAGGCCCAGAGGTCTGGCTGTGTGTGGTGAGGCGACCTCACATAGTCCAATAGAGTACTGATCCTCCTCTGTCACACTCACAGATTACCCTACAAACTATACACCTCACCCAGGGCTAAGTGTGCCCCCCAGGGTTTGCCATCCACTCTTAGATCTTGTCTTTAGGGTGGAAAAAGCACAATGGATCAACATCTGAAAGGCTGCTTGCTAGAGAAATCAAAGCCCCACAAGAATCTGAAAGCCACATAGACACCCCCCTCAGTGCATACCAAGTCTTCCTCAACACTCATGGCAAGTCATCACTGGAACCACAGTTCTCCAAGGAAGAACTGTGTCTCCATGGGAAAAGAAGTCTGCTCCCTCTCCAATCCCCCATGACAGTGATGGTGCTGCCACTTAGCAAGTTTCCTTCTTCTCTTTGGCTGACAGGGAACTCAGAGCCAAGCTAATGCTCAATTATAACTGTTGTTGAGCTTATCTACATCTCTCTTTTAAGCTCAAGTAGCACTTCTCTTTTCTATTTAATTCTTATTTGTTTATTTTGCAAGTTTGCCTTGTACTCTTCCTAGAAAAAAGCAGAATCTAAGCAAAGTCTAACAAATAGGATTTTTCTCAAGTTCTATGGCATGGGAATTATCTCCACGCAGCCCTTGACTCCAGGATTCAGTCTCTGATTGGATGCTGTGTGCCCTGGACTCTCTGAACCCACTAATGTGCTAAGAGGAGTCTCAGAGCAGAGTCTAATGAGGTCTCTGCTGAGACCTGACTCCACTGGGGTGGAAACATAGACATACATAGACGCATCCCCAGACTGGCTCCGGGATGCTGGAGCCAGATGGGCCAGGTTCTCACCTCTTACAGGTACTTCTTGGGTCCGGTGGGAGGGCAGATGTGTCCAGCACACCCTGTGTCTGCAGTCCTTTCCCTGCCCCACTTCCAAAGGAGCCCTCCAGGGTGAAGCCATTAGGGAAAGTGACCTTGCCCTAGACACCAGGACAGGGAAGCAAGTATGTCTATCTGCACACCCATGTATCTGTCCAGCTGCCATTCTATCCAGCCATGACAGGTTGCCTGGCCTCACATCCATAGATGCTAGGGACCAATGGATGGGCTTCCCCCCTAGCGACCCCCACTAGGTTTCCAAGGCTGTAAATCTTCGTGGAAGTAGACTTCCCCATCTTCCTTCCATGGAGCAGCTGGTGGATTTGAACCACTGACCTTCTGGTTAGCTGCCAATGTCTTATCCACTATGCCACCAGAGCTCCTTGCCCTATCCCAAGGGGCTCAAAATCTTCCATCCCCTTAGAAGCCCTCACCACCAACAGCTGGGCCCGCTGCCCAGAGCCTCATCTCTGAGGTGGAAGAGGAAGAGAGTAAGGGAAAAGGTGAGAGGAGGGGGCCCATGGGTCAGAGTGGAAGGACCACCCATGTGGGGCTAGGTGGTGGCGGAGGTAAGTCCAGAGGCAGGCATATCATTTGTACTGAGGGAGGGACAATTCCTTGCTTCATAGGCTGTCCCATGAATAACATTCTGGTCTCTGCCCCTTAGATATCAGTCATGCCCCCCAGACATTATGAAACCAAAACAGTCCCCATATTTCCATAAGCCCCCACAAGGGGCATAGCTGACTTCTACTGGATCAGCTTGGGTAGGAATATATTAGAAGGCAGTGACTTCGGGAAACCTGCCCAGGCACCAGTGGATGGGTATTCCAAATTAAAGGACCAGTGTGGGAAATAAAGCCAGGAGAGCACCAGTGCACACTGGGCACATGCAAGCCCGCCTGTCTACTCTAGGTCTGCTCTAGGGTCAAATGGCAACTCTGCAGCAGGAGCCATCACTTTACTCTGCCACACACACACACCTTTGGATGTGGTGGAGTAGAGAAGCCCTCCCCTGACTTCTCCATCCCCTGCCCACATCTGTAGCCTGGGTCCAATGGGGGTGATCACAGACCCCAGCAAAGGGCTTGACAGAGTGTAGAGTGGGGTCTCAGTGGCTCTCACCTTCCCCACGAGGCTCAGGTCCCTGGTAAAGGTGCCCTCATAGAGGGAGTCATCTTCAGAGAGGAGGACCCCTGGGCCCTACAGGAGAAAGAGGAGTGGTGGGTTAGGAAAGACCAGGAGATTAGGGGTGGGAAGGGGACAGCAGGAAAATGGAAGACAGGCATTGACTCACAGGCAGAGGGGTCCTGAGTCCTGGCCTACCCCCCAGGACTGTGCCTAGGTGGGATGTCAGCTCTTGGCCCTCTGGGCACCAGTCCCATGAAGTTCATCCCTGGCCCCCCTAAACTATACCCTCAGCTCTGGTTCCTCACCCCCAGTGACCTCTCTCAGGGAGCTCTTGAGAGGCCCTTCCCATCCACTGATGGCTCAGGAAATGCTAGGTTTTTCCTGAACCATTTCTGCTTCCCTGTCACTGACTCTGGGGATGGTGGCACTGACTAGGCTCCCTTGCTGCATTGGCTGCCAGGAAGCTCAGAGCGAAATGGGATGCAATTCATATTTGAGTCATTTTTGAATCTATACTCTGTGTTTATTCTCATTGCTTCTTCCTCTTTCCTTGCAGGCCTCCTTCAATCCTTTCCAAAAGAAAGTGGCATATAAACAAACAAGCCATAGTAACAATACAGCCATCAGGCCAGAGCCCCACTATGCTCCAAGCACCTGGTGGGGTGGCTGGGATAGAAGGCTAGAACTCTCAGGCTCAGGGCACTGGGCTAGAGTCTGAGCTCTGCTGCTCAGAAATTGTGTGGCACTGGGCAGGTTCTTTGGACCTCACATTTGTAATCCATATACTAGGGACAATGACATCAACCTGTAGGGCTACACGAGATCACACGGGAGGCTTAGCCCCAATCCAGCCATGAACTGAGGGGTTTATAAATGGGTCAGCTTGGGTAGCAACATACTGGAAGACAATGACTCCAGATACATCTGCCCAGGCACTGATGTGGGTGTGCAGGTCCAAACTAGGGGACCAATGGGGGAGGCGTGGTCAGGAGACCACCAGCACTCACTGGACCTTGGCCAGTGTATCTCTACGTAATTTAGTCTTAGTATTTCATTGAGGCTTTATAATTACTATTATTCTGAATTAGGAATTGGGAAACCGAGGCTGGGAGGGATAGGGACTTAGCCAAAGCCAGGGTATATGGGTGGCAGAGCTAGATTCCTGCTCAGGTTTCATCTTCCCCAGCACCCACCCCAGACTGGCCTCAGCTCAGCTTCAGGGCCCCAGAGAAGAAAAACTTCAGAATTTCAGCCCAGTTTCGTGTACAAGGAGAGGGACAGCTCAGGACACACACAGGGCATCCCACTCACCACCATCTTGTCTGCCTGGAAGGAGCCCTGGTAGCAGACGCCTGCTTGGGTGACCACAACCCCCAGGCCATGGCGCTGGTCAGCCTGCCACATGCCGATATAGCGCTCACCCCTGGGGCAGAAGGGAAAGTGGCCAGAGTTGGATCATTCCCATGTGCCTACTGGCATGGGGTGTGGGGTGCAGGGCAGATAAGGAGCAGTGACACATTTGAACCCACTAAACTCAGACGTGGGGCAAGTATGGTCAAGACTCCCAAGGGGAATAGAAGGTGGAGGAGGGCACCCTGGGAGGCTTCCTGGGGGAAGTGGCACGAAGGACAATTGGAATGGGAGTGCAATATACGCATGGGCAAAGCCATGGAGATAAGAGTGAAAGACACATGTAGGGACATTTGGTGGTCCAGAAAAGCTGGAGGAGTGCACAGCCACACTATAGGGATAAGGTCAGAGGAGTAGGTGAGGCCTTGAACACCAGACCAAGGATCTGGGCTTTGTCCTATGGCCCGGAGAGCCTGGAAGGGCTGAAATCCTTAGATGGGTCTGATTAGGGCTCAGAATCATGAGAAGGGGCCAGAGTACAGGGGGAGTCCTGTACTCAGGAAGGGCCAGTGCTCCCTCAGCACGAATGAGGGAGTGGACAGGAAGAGAGAGACTGAAGAGAGACTCTGGGGGACAAACAGTTGGCCCATGTACCTCAGGAAGCCTGTGGCACATATCTGAGACAACATGGTCTGTGAGGGTTCTGTCTGCCTCTCAGGCCCCCAGGATACGACCCTGTCTCCCTAGACCATAGGGCAAGCCATGCCCCCTCAAAGCCCAGGGCAAGAAATATCCTTTTAGACCCTAAGTCCAGGCATGCCCCAGCATCCCCCAAGGCAAGGTGTGCCCCTCAGACCCTCAGGGCAAGGCTGTGACCGCTCTGTCCTAAGGGTGGTGCTCACCTGTCTCTGTCCTCCTCAATGCCATAGCCACTCCTCTGGCCCTGCTCCCAGTGGCCCGTGTACTTGCAGGGATGGGAGGCCTGCAGGGCACTCTCTAGGACACCAAATCCATGCCGTAGGCCTGCCTGGAAGTAGCCCTTGTACACCACATCGGTGCTGTACCTGGAGAGAGTCAAGACAGCCAGTCCTGCCTCACAGAACTTGGCCCAGAAGACGTGCCCATCCCAGGAACCCCCCTACTCAGGCCAAAGGGTCACTTACTCACAGATGCCGTAGCCACACATGCTGCCTTCCCTCCAGTGGCACTTGTAACAATCGAACTTGTCCTCAGTGGCCTGGGGCACCAGGCAGATGCCAAAGCTGACCAAGTTTGGTAGGGCAGGGTGGGAAGTCAGTACCGGGGTCATTTCCCTGACCTGATATGCCCTGTCACACCTCCTTCTCCAATGCTACCAGAGTATCCCTGCCTCCAAGGAGCCTTCTCAAAGGGAAGAGTTCCAAAGACACTCAGACCCTCTCTTCTTCCCTTGGGTCCCTCTCAGGACACCTCCTCCCTCCATCCTGCCCCCATGACCTAAGGAGCACCTTCCGTTCCTGTACCACTCCCTCCATGACCTTGAGCTAAGACCCATCCCCTACTCAGGGTCTCTGTTTCCCCTTTTGTGCAATGAGGGGGGGCTGAACCAGAAAGTCTCTAAATTCCTACTTGCACTGAGGTTTGGGAATTTAGGATGGGACCAGGTTGGTGACTAACCTCTCTCCTGCCCACAGCACACACCCCAGCAGCAGCCCCAGTCAGCCTTACCCATGTTCCAGGCCCTGGCAGAAATTCCCCACATGATTCCGCCCATCTGGCCACTTCAGGGTTCCCCTAGAACACAGACAAGTCCATGGGCATCAGGCCTCCACACACACAAGGACCCCAGCCAGCTTAGTCACAGACCTCCCTAAGCCCCAGGTGCCATGTGGAGTAGACTCCTTTCCCTCCACCAAGTCCTCTTGTCTGAGCCTTAAGCCCCCAACAGAAAGCCCTTCTTTATTCCTGGCACAACTGCTCCAGTAGCCTTGTGAGACACACCCACCATACTCCATAGGGAGAGCCCTGGAAACATCCAGGTTCCCTTTCCCCTTTGACCAACAGGTAGCTCAAGCTAAACCTCAAGTTCAAGCCAAATGCTGGCCAGTGGGGTTTCTATCATTCTCCTCCCCTCTGATACAGCTTTGTTTTTTGTGTCTTTTTGTCCATAAGCCTTCTCAAGTTCTTTGAAGTAGGTAAAGTATTAGAAACTTAAAAGTATACTTAAGAGTGTAGCCTTGGCAAGTTTCTTCTGCTCTCTGGGCCTTGGTTTCCCCAGCTGTAGCATGGAGTGGAGTCGTGTGTTTTCTAAAGGCCTACCTGCTTTGCGGTGGTCACACAGACCTGCCATTGAGGCTAGGCTTACCCTCTAACCTGCCCTGAGACCCTGGGCAAGTCACGCCAGTCCCTGAGCCTCAGCTTCTACATCTGCAAAATGAGATGACAACACTCTCCCGGAGCATCCTTGTGAGGATCAGTGGAGACAGACTGTGTGCAAACAATTTCCATCACCACCAGACAATGCTATGCAGTTATAGAATTATTCCCTATCATCATAAAAATGGAATGATACCTGCAGGCCTGTCACCTGATGTTTGCCCCATGTGCCCTAGTTCCCCATCATCAAAACTAATATTTGGCAGAACTGGATAGTGCCAGGCTAACGTTACTGAAGGTTTTGATCAAAGATTCTATAGAAGAATCTTGATCAAAAGGGGGGATGGGTGTAGAACAAAATTTCAAATTTTCATAGAATCCAGAATCTTAGATCCACTGAGCACTGGATGAATTCCCAAAACTATTGCCCTGAGATAATCTTTAAACTTTAAACCAAAAATATCCCCTGAAGTCTTCTTTAAACCAAACAATGGTTTAGCTAAATTAGTAAAGAATGTCTGCCTTAATAACATACTACACAAAAACACTATTCTACATACTACTTTGGTGAGTAGCAATTGGGGTTTAAAAGTTTGCAAGTGGCCATCTAGACACAACAATTAGTCTCTCCTCGTCCAGAGCAAAGAAGAATGAAGAAAACCAAAGACACATGGAAACAATTAGTCCAAGGGACTAGTAGACCATGCAAACCTCAGCCTACATGACCATGAGACCAGAAGAATTAGATGTTACCTGACTACCACTTTCAACCACTCGGAAAGAGATCAGTATAGGAGATCCTGGATAGAGTGAGAGAAAAAGTGGATCAAAACTCAAAATCATGAAAAAGATCAGGCTTACTGGTCTGATACAGACTGGTAAAACCCCAAGACTATGGCCCCTAGTCACCCTCCATGCCTGGAATTGAACTCACTTTCATAGCTTCCAGCCTAACAATGTTGTTGTTAGGTGCCATCGAGTCATCTCTGATTCTTAGTGACCTTATGCACAACAGAACAAAACACTGCCCGGTCCTGTGCCATCCTCACAATCCTTGCTATACCTGAGCCCATTGTTGCAGCCATTGTGTCAATCCATCTTGTTGAGGGCCTTTCCCTTTTTCATTGACCCTCCACTTTACCAAGCATGATATCCTTCTCCAGGGAGTGGTTCCTTCTGACAACATGACCAAAGTAGATAAGATGAAGTGTGGCCATTGCTACTCTCAAGGAGCATTCCAGCTGCACTTCCTCCAGGACAGATTTTTAGTTCTTTCAGCAGTCCATGGCACCCTCAGCATTCTTTACCAACACTACAACTCAAAAAGCCTCAACTCTTCTTCAGTCTTCCTTATTCATTGTCCAGCTCTCACATGCATGTTGTTGTTGTTGTTGTTGTTGTTAAGTGCCATCGAGTCATTTCCGACTCATAGCGACCCCATGCACAGCAGAAAGAAACACTGCCCAATCCCGCGCCAGCCCCACAATCCCTGCTATACTTGA